CTGTATATTGCTGCTGCCACACAGATCTAAAATAAACATGCAATTTATTTCCCAGCTGTTTACATTCACAGACATAACCGACTGTTTTTGTAACTCGAGTGTTTTTAACATAAACTTGTGTGTGAATGAGAACTTAATTTAGTACTCACATGCTGTGACAGCCGCTTTCTGTACGTGTGCACTCAGAAAACCATATATCAGAAGTTTAAACTAATATGGTTTAAAACGCACAATTTCAGCGCGATAAACATGATAATCAGAACCAAAGCAGATGTTTTTAACAGGTCCGAGCTGTATTGGCACAGCTCTATTCTGGAAAAGGGGGTGGGGAGCAGCAGCTCATTTGCATTTAAAGAGGCAGGCACGAAAAACAGCATGTTTCGGCTTCCACTCAAAATAGGCATTTTTAAAGTGATATAATAAATTATCTGTGTGGTATTTTGAGCAGAAACTTCATAGACAAATTCTGGGGACCCCAGAGACTTATATTACATATTGTAAAAAGGTGCATAATATGTCTCCTTTAATGTTAGAGTAGTAATCCTCATAATCAGCTGAATTTAGAAGATACACCTGAGATTCTTTATTTGAACCATTAACATTTTTTTTAGTGTGTTTGCTTTTTAACTTTGAATACAAACTTCTCTGCTTTTACTTTTGTAGCTATTTTGTCAGTCAGCTCCCGACACGATGTCATTCACTGTATGCACAAATTCAAAGTGTCGCGTCTGGGCGCATCAACGGCGCTCGCACCCTTTTAAACTCGTAATAAAGCAGTGAATGACCTTTCCAGAAATTACGCTGATCGACAGAACAAGTTTATATTTAGAATATATTGCAATCACTCCAAAATAGATGACAACAACTCACACACCTGCATTAGGAGCTGTACTTTTTTGCATGCCTATTTAGCCATTTGCATCGCATAGTTCGCAGCACCTGATGGATGTATTTGTTACGCAAACATTCAGAAGGCGGGACCCAATTTGAAACTGCAACATTAATTGGTTTAATTGCAGATGAGTGACAATTCAACTATATCCAATGAAAAATGAGGCTAGTATTTTGCTGCCCATCTTCACTGGTGGACTGGCGTATAGGGGATGTTACTGTTATGGAGGACCCTCCTCAAAGCCTGAGGCCCGAGGCAATCGCCTGCTCTGCCTATAGCTAGCGCCGGCCCTGTACTAATGACAAACGCTGATCTGGCCTCACTTTCACTACAAGTTTTGGTCTCTGTATTAATACATGCATATGAGTAAATATTGATTGAAACAGCATTACAGTATCATGATCACTGTTATGAACTCAAAATGTCCTTATGAGAAAAATACTGCACTAAATTAAAGAGCAGGGCCCGTATTTATCAAGCTACTCAAAGTGCCATTTAAGTGCTGCTAATTCATTAAATTTTCTCCTACTTTCAAACTTAAGTATAAAGGCAAGTTATCCAGTTTCTTAAAGCTAAGAAATACTCTTACTCTCCCAGTTATTTAAAGGGGTCATAGGATGCCCATTTTTCACAAGTTGATATGATTTTTTAGGGTCTTAATGAAAAGTCTGTAACATAGTTTGGTTAAAATTTCTCAATGGTAGTGTAAAAAATACATTTTTTTACCCTGTCAAAAACAGCTCTTTTCAGAGCACGCAGTTTTGTAGCATTTTCATTTAAATGTTAATGAGCTCTGCTGACCCCGCCCCTCTCTTCCGAGCTGCTCTCAGAGAGACTGTTTACTTTAGCCGCATTCATCGTGAAACTTGCTATTTGCATAGATTAATTAAAAAACCTTACACTCACTTCTTCTGTAGGTGAAGCTGGATTATGAATGATTTGCGCGAACATAGACGCATTTATGTAGATCGGGGCGCATTCCCTTCAAAAACAAACGTAATCCACTGCGTCTTCAGCAGCTCAGATGTCGGGAGTAAACGACGACTGCTATGTTCATTATTACATCCAACAACAGAACACCTCAATCGCTTAGGAGTCATTCTTGTCTTCATCTGCTCCGGCGGTGAAACAATGGCGGACTGATGACAGCTCACTCAGGGCGGGTCTAAGGTAAGACGCCAGTTCAGTCTGTGCTGAAACGCTACTGTCAATCAAACTATCCTGGGAGGGGCCTGTATGTGTGATGTCACACATACAGGCCCCTCCCACGATAGTTTGATTGACAGTAGCGTCTGAGATCGGCTCGATTTGAGAAAGGTTTTGTAGATTAACAAAAAACACTGGGTGGAATTTTATCATTATAGGGTGGCTGTGTACACACACTGCCAACACACATTTCTGTTCAAACAACTTGTAAAAGTGCATGTAGCATTATATGACCCCTTTAAGACAGCTCGAGAAGTCTCTCAAGTGGTTAGGAGTTGCCAGTAGGGGCATGTGATGGCGCTGAGGAGACAGAGACGTGTGCAAATCTTTCAGGAGAGGAAGAATGTTCTTGAAATGTTTAGCAACGAGCAGAAAACGAGCAAAGAATATTTACATTACCAAATAACATCAACTGACTTCAGTCTAGCGCGAGTATTATATGCTCTTTAAAAACACTCCCGTTATAATCAGTGAAGCTACCTACACTGTATCAAGAATAAATCTCTTACACCTTATTTACACTGCACACGTCTGCGGTGCGTTACGGCTCCGACACGGCCACCGGAGCTGATCACGGCTACTCAGCAGTTTCTGAAGCGGCTCTACTCACTGCATCACTAAAGATAGGTGCCTATATTTTTGACTGATAATAATAATAATCGTCTTGCTGTCGTCAAAGAAATCAGCAACATGCGATATCTCTGACTATCGTCGATACTCGATTCTATCGTCTACCGGCACAACCCTAAATTGAAGGTTGTGATGACGATTGAATCTATTCGGTGATTGGTCCATGCGTATTTCGACATCCAAAATCCCGTTTGTGGCACAGCAAAGTGTCGTGAATCAACTCTAAGACTGACACTTAATATTTAGTCCTACACTTCACTTAAATTACAACTGAGATGCTTGATAATTAACTTTTAAGCGCAGGGTAAGATTTGCATTTCTGTACCAAATAAAGAGTATAAACTATATCTTAAGATAAGTCAATATTTGAACCACTACATTTTTTTTCCCCCCTACATATGTGTCTTTCTCTTTTTATAGGCGCACACATTTGACTGTGAGTCTGAGACTTGATGAAGGGTAAGTTTTGCATTTATGTACTAAATAAAGAATATAAACTGTATGTTATTAAGATAAGCCAACATTTGAACGACTTTACATTTTTTCCCCTACATTTCTATCATTAGATCATTAGACAGCTGAGTTCGATTGGTGTCCGGGTCATAGACTGGAAGATGTAGGAGCGAATAAACGATTTCGCTGCGATTGGAGCTGCAGACCCACCGGTCAGTGTGGTTTAATTAATTAGCCTACTCACTCTCATGTCGTTCCACACCTGTAAGACCTTTGTTCATCTTCAGAACAGAAATGAAAATATTTTTGATGAAATCCGAGGTCCAGAACGGTAGGAAAGACTTATATATAAGAATTATATGAGGGTGAGTAATTGATGATTTTGGTTGAACAAACCCTTCATAACATTGTACGTGTATTTACACAGTTTTTGTGTTGTCTGTTGCCACCTTATCGCTTACATTTATAATCTCCAGAAAGCCAAACCTCTGTCACACCTCATCAAAAATCTACCCTGTCACTGCCACTATCATGTTTGCTACTATTTATTAACTTGGCGAAATGTTTGCTGCTATAGTGCTTGTAAAGCGCGGTCACAGTATACAGCTTCAGCAGCCCTTGTTTAAAATGCATATCTTGATTTGTTTAATGTCTCAATCAACTTACATCACATATTTGCATCGATTTCAACCGACTTTGAGTACATTGTTACATTCCTATTACTCACAAAAGCAGCAGACGGAAACTTTAAACCAGAGGTGTCTAAACTCGGTCCTGGATGTCCACTCTTCTGCAGAATTTAGCTACAACTTACCTGGAAGTTTCTGGTATGCCTAGTAATACCTTAGTTAACGGATTCAGATGTATTTAATTAAGGATGGAGCTAAACTCTGCAGGACAGTGACCCTCAGAGCAGAATTCGACACCCCTGCTTTAAACTATTATTTATTTATTTATTTATTTTATTTTTTTGTTATTCAAAATATTGAATGTATTTCTTAATTAATTTGTGTATATTGAAGTCTGTCAGTGTGTACTGTATATGAAATAACCAACTGTTAGTAATTTTTACTGTTATTTTCTGATTTTAAAGGCTCATGGTGAGACACTTCATACACACAAGAAGGGCGTGCAAGCTGGCCTCCTAATACGAAGACTACGATGGTGCACTGCAGGACACCTTTCTCCTTTTAAATGTTCAAGAAAAAAAGGACTGTAATGGACATGTATGTGTGTTTTTTTTTTCAAGCTTTCCTCAGTGGTTGTTTTTCATGAGGTAGTGTATTTTCAGCTTTGTATGACAGTTTCTTGGCAGTTTTTTGCTACTTTTGTGCCCTTGTTGTATACATATACTGGCATTCACACATTAGCATGCACAGGCAGGTTGTGTACCGTTCTTAATATTAAAAACTTGTTTATAAACACTTCAAGAAAAACAAATGAAATGTTTCAAACAAATGTAGTATATCTTTTTTTATCTGTATCTAAAATAAAGGTTACATTATCATAACTAGAAAATTAATGTAAAAACTTTTGAACTCAAGTTGAAACAGCAAATATTGTAAAGTCAAATTAACTTTAATAAAGCAATTCAGTATTTTAAATAAGTGAGTTGAAATGACTTGTACTTTTAAGTTGATTTAACTTAAAATTTTAAGACAGCCACAAAACTTAAGTTTTAGTTGAAACGGGTGACATTTTTTTACAGTGTAGCTTTAAGAAATGTGATAACTTGCTTTTATACTTATATTTTTCAAGTTTGAAAGTAGGAGTAAATTTAATGAATTCTCAGCACTTAAGACTAAAATGGCACTTTGAGAAGCTTGATAAATACGGGCCCTGGTTTGCTTGTAGTTGGTGATGATTATTAAAAATGTTTCCAATTGTTGGTAACAACTAAATGAAACACTGATTTGTATATTCAGTCAACATTTATGTTCTTTAATTCACATATTACACAATTTCATAGTGTACAACATTTACATAATTTAAGAGTATCATACACTTTCAATATAGTAAAATAGGTTTATTTAGGAGGACAATGATATTAAACTCACCCTTCACTGAGAGATAAACAGAGCTTGAGTGTGATGAGACTGATCTTCCATCTATGTGTCCTCTACACGTGTACTGACCCGCATCAGATGATTCAGATCGTTCAACAGTGAGAGTGTTTCTGTTTACAGTGTGACGTTTAGACACTTTAGTGCTGTATTTATACCACTCATATCTCCAGTCACTGTGATCAGAGTTTATCTCACACTTCAGACTCACTCTCTCTCCAGTGAATACTGGACTGTTTGGAGTCACAGTCAGTGAAGATGTGGGTAAATCTGTGAAGAAAGACAAAAATATGAAGTGTCTGAAACAGCAGTTCAGAGGAAATTCAGTGAAGATGTGGGTAAATCTGTGAAGAAAGACAAAAATATGAAGTGTCTGAAACAGCAGTTCAGAGGAAATAATTACTTTGTAAATGTGTTACAAAACTATATATATATAACATTTTTTTTTTCTTTTTTTTTTTTCTTTCATAACTTGTGTGCTTTTCCTGGTCGAGTTCTGAACTGTTGTGCAAATAGAGTCTCATGAACACTTAAGCCGGGCTCACACTACAGGAGTGTTAAAATCCTAACCGATTATGAAATCTGGTTGCAGCACACACATAAGGAGAATCTTTGCAGATTATCTTGCCTCAAATCTTAAACATGCACACACTACAAGATTTTAACATCATGGCGCATCACACACTACAAGATATTATTAAGATTATCATGCCAGAGGGAGCACCTCACGTGATCTCACGCAGCAGATCGTCATTGATATTTCAGTGATGTTTACATATGTTAGCTAGTGTGCTAGCTGCTTTCTACACTCACCCGGTACATTCAAAACTGAGGCGATTTCACTCCAGTGCTTCTCTTTCTCCTTACAGTTGTGATACGTTTTCAACACATTATACAAACAGTCCTGTTACTATAAAACGTCAAGAAGCAGTTTCCTCCATCTCCACTATACAACGGGGCCGTATAGCAGCTGTTTTGCGGTCGCGCATTGGCTATTGTGAAAGTACTGACATAATCATATAGCCGTCATCATCCCGATTTAAATCCTAAACATCAAACATGTTTGATATGATCGGGGCGGCCCCGATTTGTGTGCGAGCACATCGGGAGGTGCAAGATTCGATCGGTGAACGCCTCACATTACCAGATAATCCGCGCCGAACATCGGGACCGATCGAGGGGCTCGACAAGATTTTTGCTCCGATTCTCGGGAGGGGGAAATCGGGGCTAAATCGGGCTAAAAATCCTATAGTGTGAGCCAGGCTTTAGTCGTGCACAGAGACGAATGGCCAAGGTCAGGATATTCTTATAAAATGTTAACTTTCGGTTTGTTTTTCCACCAAACCCCTGAACACGTGGTGTATCCGAATATATGACATGTGCCAATGGGAGCACTTCTGTGGTGGGTTGCACCATTAAGGATTAAGCTTAAATCTAGATTAAATCGAGGTTTATCCAATAATTCGGTTTCATCAGTCTTTAAACCTTGTTTAAAAATAAGCAGGTTTACATTTATGTAAGACTTTAGCTGGCAGTACTTCCTCCAACCACTAGGGGTCACACTCCTGCCATGACCAGCAGTATTACTCCCAGCCACAAGGGGGCGCGGGATGTCTGCTGCCTGCAATCTTCCTCCCAGTTGCCAGGGGGCAACCATTGGCAAGAACTCTCAGCTCTGCTTAGCAATTATTGTTGATGATACTCACCTGTGTAGGGCCCTATTTAAGTTTGCAGTTTGCCTTTGTGTTTTGTTCAGTCTTGAGCCTACCTACCTGTGTATCCTGTTGCTAACCGTGAGTCTTGAGTCTTTTATTGTGCTCGTTTTGTTTTCTCCTTTTTTTGTTGTGACTATTGGAAGCCTTGCTTCTGGTTTTGTTTGTACTTTGTTCCTTGTTTTTTTGAATCTCTACAAGTAAAAATACTTGGAGTTTGTATTTCTCGTCTCCGTGAGATTTTGTCATTCCTCTGCACTTCAATCTCCTCAATCTGGATTATTTGTCTATAGTCTGGCCGTCCTTGCATCTGTATCATTACAATTTAAACCATCATTTTGACCCTGGATTTTATTTATATTTAAGATAGATTAATTTCAGTCCCGTTGCTCCATAACTTTAAACTCAGATTTAAATCTGTATTAGGGATTAACTTTAAATGTACAGGTAAGGAGGTTTAAATGAAATAAAGTGCAACACCGGCAGCGTGTGAGGGTCGTGGCGGCCTGTAAGTTTACGCCCGCTGGAGTCTGAATGTGGATCCGTCCCTCATCTCGGTGTCAGACAAAGAAAAGTTAGGAGGAATATGTGTAGCATTTAACGGCAGCTGTGATGAGATGAGCGCCAGTGATGCTGCCGCGCCTCTCCTTTCTCAAACGGACGAGGTGGCGCTGTGACGAGCGGAGGTAGTCACTCCATGAATCGTGCCAGTTGTTTTCTCTCATCTCGGTTTTGTCATAATATGCTGCCACATTACTGCATTAATTGATCATACAAATATATTTCCAGGCTTATGAAGTCCATACAATCTTATGTTTTATTTTCCTGCTTGGTCAGCTGTAATCTAACGCTCTCTACGCAGCTGGTTATAAAGACGCCTGACATTTTACAAGTTTAGTTCCTTTATCGACAAGAGCTGCTTATGTCAGAGAGAGTTTCTGATAGTCAATAAAGAAGAAATGGAACATTTTCATTGTTTCTGATTAATTAGTGAATCCGTCATGACGGAGAAAATGAATCGTAGATGGAGGTTTTAATCGCAGGTTAGAATTGAATTCTAATCCTAGATTTGTTAATCTGTGTTTAAAATTTAAGTAGTGCAACACAACTCGACTTAAAATAAACCCCAAATCAACAAATCCTCGATTAGCTCTAAAGTTTAATTTAATCCTTATTTGTGCAATAACCCACTTTTGCGTATTTATATAAAAAAAAAAAAAAAACCGTGGGCTTTTTAATACTTATTTTAGTTAAGTGCTTAAATTGTAAATATGCATTTATTAAATTATTTTATTTAGTGCATTTGTATTTTGTTGTTTTTGTAGGCTATACAATAAAAGCGTACCAACCAGAAATAATCACTGAGGGTGCTTCTGACATTAGTGAGGGTGCTCTAGTCTTAATGCACATTTTCACATATTTTGTCCCATCTATTGCTATGGTTATCACTATGTCAATCACTACTACTTCGAGAGCGAATCCAGCATAAATATGCGGATGTCATTCCCGAAACTTTGCAACGTGTGTGTGGCCGAAAAACAACGTTCTACATTTTAAATGGTTTAAAGCTCGCAAAGAGCGCTCCTTTTTTAACCACTAAAAACTGTCACTCTTAGTTCATCGTGATCTCACAAAGTTCTGTTATGACCAATTAATCTCACACTGTGCAATTAATATATTATTATTACATCGTCTTGTATACACTCTGTATGTTATAATGAAAGGATTCGATTGTGATCAGCACAGAACAAAAACTGGTGTGTGTCGCAGCCATTAGGTAAACCAGCATACATTCATGAGGATGATGAAAGTGTTTTAACTTGAGTAAAGCCCCCAGACCCCCTGCTCGTGACTCCCCCTGCCACCCCCATACACGTTCAAAACTGAGGCGATTTCACTCCAGCGCTTCTCTTTCTCCTTAAGGTTGTGATACGTTTTCAACACATTATACAGACAGGCGTGTTACTATAAAACGTCAAGAAGCAGTTTCCTCCGTCTCCACTATCCAACGGGGCCGTACAGCTGCTGTTTTGCGGTCGCGCATTGGCTATTGTGAAAGTACTGACATAATCATATAGCCGTCATCATCCCGATTTAAATCCTAAACATCAAACATGTTTGATATGATCGGGGCGGCCCCGATTTGTGTGCGAGCACATCGGGAGGTGCAAGATTCGATCGGTGAACGCCTCACATTACCAGATAATCCGCGCCGAACATCGGGACCGATCGAGGGGCTCGACAAGATTTTTGCTCCGATTCTCGGGAGGGGGAAATCGGGGCTAAATCGGGCTAAAAATCCTATAGTGTGAGCCAGGCTTTAGTCGTGCACAGAGACGAATGGCCAAGGTCAGGATATTCTTATAAAATGTTAACTTTCGGTTTGTTTTTCCACCAAACCCCTGAACACGTGGTGTATCCGAATATATGACATGTGCCAATGGGAGCACTTCTGTGGTGGGTTGCACCATTAAGGATTAAGCTTAAATCTAGATTAAATCGAGGTTTATCCAATAATTCGGTTTCATCAGTCTTTAAACCTTGTTTAAAAATAAGCAGGTTTACATTTATGTAAGACTTTAGCTGGCAGTACTTCCTCCAACCACTAGGGGTCACACTCCTGCCATGACCAGCAGTATTACTCCCAGCCACAAGGGGGCGCGGGATGTCTGCTGCCTGCAATCTTCCTCCCAGTTGCCAGGGGGCAACCATTGGCAAGAACTCTCAGCTCTGCTTAGCAATTATTGTTGATGATACTCACCTGTGTAGGGCCCTATTTAAGTTTGCCTTTAGCCATTGTGTTTTGTTCAGTCTTGAGCCTACCTACCTGTGTATCCTGTTGCTAACCGTGAGTCTTTTGTAAGCCATTGTGCTTGTTTTTGTTTTCTCTGTTTTGTGTCTATTGGAAGCCTTGCTTCTGGTTTTGTTTGTACTTTGTTCCTTGTTTTTTTGAATCTCTACAAGTAAAAATACTTGGAGTTTGTATTTCTCGTCTCCGTGAGATTTTGTCATTCCTCTGCACTTCAATCTCCTCAATCTGGATTATTTGTCTATAGTCTGGCCGTCCTTGCATCTGTATCATTACAATTTAAACCATCATTTTGACCCTGGATTTTATTTATATTTAAGATAGATTAATTTCAGTCCCGTTGCTCCATAACTTTAAACTCAGATTTAAATCTGTATTAGGGATTAACTTTAAATGTACAGGTAAGGAGGTTTAAATGAAATAAAGTGCAACACCGGCAGCGTGTGAGGGTCGTGGCGGCCTGTAAGTTTACGCCCGCTGGAGTCTGAATGTGGATCCGTCCCTCATCTCGGTGTCAGACAAAGAAAAGTTAGGAGGAATATGTGTAGCATTTAACGGCAGCTGTGATGAGATGAGCGCCAGTGATGCTGCCGCGCCTCTCCTTTCTCAAACGGACGAGGTGGCGCTGTGACGAGCGGAGGTAGTCACTCCATGAATCGTGCCAGTTGTTTTCTCTCATCTCGGTTTTGTCATAATATGCTGCCACATTACTGCATTAATTGATCATACAAATATATTTCCAGGCTTATGAAGTCCATACAATCTTATGTTTTATTTTCCTGCTTGGTCAGCTGTAATCTAACGCTCTCTACGCAGCTGGTTATAAAGACGCCTGACATTTTACAAGTTTAGTTCCTTTATCGACAAGAGCTGCTTATGTCAGAGAGAGTTTCTGATAGTCAATAAAGAAGAAATGGAACATTTTCATTGTTTCTGATTAATTAGTGAATCCGTCATGACGGAGAAAATGAATCGTAGATGGAGGTTTTAATCGCAGGTTAGAATTGAATTCTAATCCTAGATTTGTTAATCTGTGTTTAAAATTTAAGTAGTGCAACACAACTCGACTTAAAATAAACCCCAAATCAACAAATCCTCGATTAGCTCTAAAGTTTAATTTAATCCTTATTTGTGCAATAACCCACTTTTGCGTATTTATATAAAAAAAAAAAAAAAAGCCTGAGGGCTATCTACTGCCATTTTTTTTTTTTGCACTTCTTTTTTTTTGTAATCTCTCGTTGTGGTCTGGGAAAAGAAGGGTAAACAGCATTAGAACAACACAACGATGAGTAAATGATGGTTCACTGTCAATGTGGATGCGAGTCCTGAGTTGTATTTTCACTTCAGTTATAATATGCACTTGTCACTTTTATTAACTGAACTGTGTATGAATGTAACTGTATTCAGCTTTCTAAACACAAGTTTTAAAATCACTAATAACTGCACAATATCAGTCCTATAAAGAAGGGTTTCCCAAACTGAGGTTTGTGAGAGAACTGCAGGGGGACTGTGAGTTGATGAAAAGCTAATAATTAAATCAGAAAATATAAAAGTCAAAAATATTTTAATATTTTTTAAAATAAAACAATTAACATAACACAGTAAAAAAAAAATCCATTGTAAATGTGTTTACAACTTTCAATAACGTCAAATAGGCTCATTTAAGAGGACAATGATATTAAACTCACCCTTCACTGAGAGAGAAAGAGCAGAGCTTGATTGTGATGAGACTGATCTTCCATCTATGTGTCCTTTACACGTGTACCGACCCGCATCAGATGTTTCAGATCGTTCAATAGTGAGCGTGTTTCTGTTTACAGTGTGATGCTCAGACACTTTAGTGCTGCCTTTATACCACTCATATCTCCAGTCACTGTGATCAGAGTTTATCTCACACTTCAGACTCACTCTCTCTCCAGTGAATACTGGACTGTTTGGAGTCACAGTCAGTGAAGATCTGGGTAAAGCTGTGAAGAAAGACAAAAATATAAACAGCTCTTTCAGTGGAAAGAATTACTTTGTAAATGTGTTATAAAACTATATAGTTTATACATTAATGTAATTTCATAATGCTTGTGTTTTATTCATGTATTGTGATAAGTTTTCTCATCTCAGTTTATTTGAGGAGGCTCTGGCTCCGTCATGAAGCATCTCAGGATTCTCAATAGCAGCCTCTGTGTGTGTTGCTTCAAGGGAGCGACCATCCGTCTGTGTTATTTTCTTTCTTTTTTTTAAATTAATTTATAATCATAATTTATAATTTAATTATTAAATTTAATCAATTATTAATTTTTATTATTTTACTTACTTCACCTGCTTTTGCAATGCTTGCTATTGTTGTTTAATCTTATGATTGTTTGGTTTCAAAACATATTTGCCTCCGTGAGAAAGAGAACGTCTATATTTCAAGGTTTTTAACGTCACAGATTGATGTTGTTTAAAACAGTTCAGTCTCAGGATCTGGTAAAGTGACTGGATGGAGATCCGTTCTAACAGTCTCATGCTCAGACAAACACCTAAATGTGGTGTTAGATCAGGAATGGATTTGAATAAGAGCCTCATGCAGAGAGCAATAGAGACACCAGAACATAAATATTCATGATTCTGCTTAGTTAAAAATACAGAATTATATTAGACCCATATGATTTCACTCGGTCCCTCACTACATACTCTTGAATGTGTGACCTTCTGGATTCACCACATTTGATGAGCCATTATCATATTTCATGCTAAATTAAATCTGTCTAAACTTTTATTTTGGTTGAACTATAGACGATACATACTGTCACATTTTTGTATTGTGATATGTTATGACACATCATGTTGTTCCCCTTCAGTTATAATATGCAGATGTCACTCTAATTCAGTGGTTCTTAATCCTGGTTTTGGGGATGTCTCGATGTGGTTCTGCACGTCTCTCTTATTTAACACACCTGATTGCCTGATTAACAGAGAGCTAGATGAGCTGAACTGAGTGAGTCAGATAAAGGAGACATAAATGTGCAGATCGGGGTCCCCAGAACCAGGATTAAGAAGCACTAATAATTGAACTGTGTGTGAATGTAACTGTATTCAGCTTTCTAAAACAAGTTTTAAAATCACTAATAACTGCACAATATCAGTCCTATAAAGCAGGGTTAACCAAACTGAGGTTTGTGAGAGAACTGCAGGGGGTTGTGAGTTGATGAAAAGCTAATAATTAAATAAAAAAATAAAATAAATAATTTAAAAATAAAAACAATCAAAATAAGACACAATAAAAAGATGAAATGTTTAATTTTTTTATCTGCATGTCATGTGACCATTAAGCAAAACAATTGTGATTATTTCTGAGAACTATTTGACTGCAGACAGACATACATTATTCGCGATTTCCCCGTTGATTCTGCGTCGCGAAAGCCCGGCAGACTCAACGCACTGTCCGGAATGGCGTCTTTCAGCCAGGTTTCCGTGAAACACAGAGCAGCAGAGTGTGAGAAATCCTTGTTTATCCGGGAGAGCAGAAGGAGTTTGTCCGTTTTGTTGGGTAGAGAGCGGAGGTTCGCCAGATGGATGCTAGGCAACGGCGTTCTGAATCCGCGCTGCCTGAGCTTCACGAGGGCACCAGCTCGCTTCCCCCGTCTGCCCCCTGAAGCACTTGATCAGCGACGCTGCTCCGCCAACTACAATGTCCAGCAAAACATCAGAATAGTCGAGGAGGAGCCCTCCGTGGGCTATACTCGGGAACTAGAGCCCACACCGGGCTGGATTCGGGGACTGCGAAGCGCTTACGGGGTGCTGGCACTGGAGGGCGCTCTGGAGGAGCAGGCACAGCAAAATGCTTTCGAGGAGCTGGCACTGGAGTGAGCTTTGGGGCTGGAGCCCACACTGGAGTGAGCTCCGGGGCTGGAGCCGACATTGACTAGGGAACGGCCAGCTGACTAGAGGATGCCGTGGACGGCGGCGGGCTTGACTGGGGATTAGCTGGCGGACTGGACGGCGGGCTTGACTTCACCGCGGCCGGCGGTCTGGTTCTGGCACGGGGCAGGACGCTTCCCAGACACCGGAGGATTCCTTCCCTCCAGCTTAGTCCCGTGGTGTCTGGGAGGTCCACGGGGCGATGCTAGTTGGCCCCGTGCCAGAACAGCGAGTTGATGGTGGCGTCATCGAATGCCGTTGCTGCGGCGAGGCCAGGGCGATGAACCAAGCGGCAATTTCCATAGCCACGGGGAAAACAAGGAAAACAAAAAGAATAAAAAAAAAACGGAAAACAGACACGGGGAAGGGACACCGTTTACTGTTAGTTTGGTCCGGTATTCTGTCACGGCTGGCCTACTGTGGCGGAGACGAAGGAGCGCGGAAACCAGGGGGATTAACATCAAGGTATTTATTTTAGCACACAACGAGGAATACAGGCAGGATCACACACAGAGACTCGGGTTGACATTCAATACCGGACAAAACACTAACTGAAAGGACTGGGGCTTTTAAACTCATGATAACGAGGAATTAAGGAGACACACCTGGAATCAAATTAACAATCAACATGAGGACGAAAACTGGGTCACAGGGAGCAAAATACACACACACACATGGAACAGAGTCTGACATATTCTGTACCTTATTTTCTTAAAGAACAAACACTTATTTTCTACAATAATACAAGAATAAACACTATTTTCTTAAACAATAAAATATAAAGAATCACAATTGTCCCTTATTTTCCATTTCTGAAGTTAATTGGCAACCCTAATGATGACGTAATTATCTTTTGACTCCCCTGACAGCGGCACCTTGCTCAAAAAACAAACAAACAAACAAACAAAAAATAGCTCAGATGAAGGAGATATGCGAGCAAAAAATAATAGATGAGAAATGGATAATAGAAAGCGCGGAGAAAATAAAAAAATAAGTGGGCCGGTCTAAGGCATGAAACTCCAGGGCTGAAAATGAGCCCCACTCCGGCCGTGGCCTCCATGCAGTAAAAAGATAGCCAATTTCCGTTACTGACCACAAATTCATGGAGTCTGGACACAGCCAGATGGAATGGGACAGTGTCCATGCAGCTATTGAGACAGCCAGAAAGAATGTGCCTGTGTACAGTCCAGATGGGTACTACACTCTTGTAAGGATGGCAAGGAAGACCATGCCATACAAGGTGATTGAGCTTAGTCACAGTGACTTTCTGGATTTTAAGTCCTTTTCATCACACATGGTCCAAAACAAAACAAAAGATGCAGAGGGAGAAACAGTTTGTTGGCAGAAAATCAAGTGGCTGAGCTACACAAAAGAGGATCCAAAGGTTATTCAGTTCAAATATGAACTGTCTGACCAAGCATTTAAAATGCTTGAAGTTGGAAAACAGGAGACCAGAGTTTATCATGGAACTGAACCTAAAAAGGTATACAAATGTCCACCTGGCATCACTGCTGTGAAAAAGAAAGACTTACTTACACTGTGCACAAATGCACTGGCAGTATCCAGCAGTCTTATGTGGACTTCTACCAGGCTTTACAAGTCAGCCAGTCAGAGTAGGCTACTCTATTATATACAAATGGATCTGAAATGTTCTTTATGACACATTGTTTTTGTTATGTTGTCATGTCCTCAATATTCAGTAACTTATTTCATATGCTCACTGTTCTGAAGCTTCTGGACTTTCAGTTGGTAATATGGCAAAATTATATTAATTAGTTAATGATAATTAGTTATGAAATTCATTCATTCAGTATCAATTAGTTAATGATATGTTATTATAATATTAATTAGTTATTTGATATTTTATTTATCACAATATATTGTTATTTATTTTATACTCAATAATGGCTTTGTTCAAATTGTCATCAGATGCGCCCATGTTTTTATGTATGAAATGGAATGAAAAAAATATATATATTTCTGAATAAATGTTAAAATGGTGTTCAATAAGTATACTATCATCCATGTATCATCCAGTTGGTGAAATGTCACTTACGCCCTTCTGGTCCTCACCCCTCGATATGAAATAGAATGAAACATTGGTGCCAAAACGGTGTATGTGACTTTTTTTTTATTAAAAAAAAAATGGATTTTTTTTTTCTGAATAAATGTTAAAATAGTGTTCAGTAAGTATGCTGTCATCCATGCGAGTACACATTTTTAGTATAAAAGATTGAAATCAGTACACAAAGTCAGATCAAACTATGGTATTTTTTTGTTTTGGTCCTCCTGTAAAGTTGGTGAAATGTCACTTACGCCCTCCTGGTTCTCACCCCTGTATTTTTCTTGAGTAAACTACATCTGCTGTACTCAACACAGTAAATCGTACTCATTTATTTGATTTGTATATGATAAAAATGTTCATTATGCATAAAAAAGGAATGTTCACAGGGCTCCTATCCTGTCCCCATTAAATAGGTTGCAAGTGGGACCTTCTGGTACGAGTAATGCAGTATGTCCCACTTGCAACCTATTATATGGCGACTGTATAGGAGCTTTATGGACACTTCCTGTATATTGTAATATTCATGTGTAGGATGTTTATTCTTGATTAAACCACCTCTGATGTACTCAACACAGTAAATTGGACTCATTTATTTGATTTGCATATCATAAAAAGGGTAACACTTTCTAATAACGTTCAGTTGTAAGTCATTTATAATTGATTAGTTAATGATGAACTAATCATTTACAAAACATTCATAAGCAATTAATAAGTGATATGCTAAGAATTTGTCTATGTTTTGTTAATTCATTTACAAGTAATTTACAAGTGATTAGTTAATGATGAACTAATCATTTACAAAACATGACTATGCGTTCATAAATATTTAATAAGTGATATGTTAATATTTTATCTATGTTTTGTAGATTAAGTTATAAATAATTTAAAAGTGATTAGATGATGATTAACTAATCATTTACAAAACATGACTATACATCCACAAATGATTATTAAATAATATGCTAACGATTTACAAATCTTGTAAGTTATATTAAAAAATAGCATTATGAAATAATCAAACAGATCCTTAGTAAAAGGTTAATACACTGAAAAAAATTATACTACATTTTTTAAGGTAAGTGGTTGCAAACAATATATTTTAGCTACATTTAAATAAAAAATGTTGAAAGTTAGTCAACTAAATTTGTTTATTTAAATGTAGCTAAAATAAATTGATTGCAACCACTTAACTCCTGTTGTGTAAACACATTAATAAATAATTTACAAAGCTTGCAAACTGTAAAATATTTTACAAACCTGCCGGTTACAGGTTGTGTGTGTACACACTGGGTGAAAGACCTACGAATGATGAGTAAAACATTTACAACTGATGAGTAGTTTACACTTTAGAATAGGGGATGCAGAAAGCTTTGTAAATGATTTATTAATGTGTTTACACAACAGGTTTTGAATACTTTGTAGTGTGTACTGCAGTGTAAGGGCTGACTGGTGAAGGTGTAGACAGATGTCTTCTCTGACACACATGGAGTAGTTATAACGCTGTGAAATAATAGTACAATGTTGACATTTCAATGATTTATAAGTGAATAATAACCATTTACTAAGGATCTGTTTGATTATTTCATGATATGCTATTTTTTAAGATAACGTGATAGATTGGTAAATCATTAGCATATTACTTAATCATTTGTGAACGTATAGTCATGTTTTGTAAATGATTAGTTAATCATCATCTAATCACTTGTAAATGGTTTATAACTCAATCTACAAAACATAGATAAAAATATTAGCAAATCACTTATTAA